CATAAAATTATATATATAATAATATATATTATATATCTATATCTATATCTATATCTATATCTATATCTATATATATCTGCCTGAGAGTGTAAGGGAAGGTAGACTGTATAGTCTACCCTGTACATCAGGGCATGACATAAAATTATATATATATAATATATCTATATCTATCTATCTATCTATCTATCTATCTATCTATCTATCTATCTATCTCTATCTATCTATCTATCTATCTATCTATCTATCTATCTATCTATATATATATATCTGCCTGAGAGTGTAAGGGAAGGTAGACTGTATAGACCATTCTGAGAATTGCTTAAAAATCCAAGTATACAATGTTGACAGAGCCATTTACATGCATGTGTCATTCACTAACTCACAGAACTCTAGAAGGTTGGTGAGGAAGAACTCTTGGATGGATCCCATTAACACCCAGTGATTTGTTACTCTGTAATCCCTCAAGATATCCTAAAATACCTTCACTTGTTATCTCAATTTGCTTTACTTATTCTGATCACTTCCCTGAAAAAGCCAGTACAGCTTCAGATATATGTCCTATAACTTGTCCTTTATATTCATTTTACATCTAGGAATGACTGTATCCCATTGATTCTTTCTATCCCAGCAGGTTTCTGTTATGCGGTACGCACTGTAACTATGTCCTTGTTTGCAACGAGGAACTCTAATTTTCCATTCTTGGCTTGGAGACTGACACAGAAACGCCTAGACACTAGATCCTTTTTCACATGTTGCCAGTGTGAATCTTTTTGTCTCCTAACTGTCATGTCCACTGATTAACTCACAATACTGTCCCTAACCCTTATATTATTTTCTGAAATATGTACACCCTTCCACACTGGATACTGCTCCATATCTGTTGGCTTTCCCTTAAGGATCAGTGTAAAAGCTGCTCTACAGCTTTTTTATATGATATGCCAGCAGCCTAGTTCCATTTTGGTTCAAGTGGAGCTTGTCTGTCCTGTACAGGGTTGGCTTGTTCCAAAACTCTTCTCAGTGTCTAAGAAATTTAAAACCTTTCATCTGGCACAACTCTCTATTGAGACCCTCAGTTTTGCTTGCTCAGTTGACTCTGGGCAGAGATTAGGCAACATTTCTGAGAATGCTACCTGGGCAATGTCATGCTGTTTCATGCTGCTACCTAGTAGCCTAAATTTGGCTTCCAGGACTACCTAAATACATTTTCCAATATGCCAGTGATCAAAATTGTTTGCAGAACAGGATGTTATAATAGTTAGGAAAAGGCAGAAAATCAAAGTCTTGGGAAACAAGGACATAGTTAAAGTTTATTTAACACATTTATGTGGCTGCCCAACTCAACCAAGGTGTTTTTGGCTGGCTTACAAAAAAATTCAACAAAATCTAACAAGAAGAATATAAAACTATAGTATGTAAACTGACAAACAATAACAAAACAATAAAACAATAAAATGGTGATCCAAACAGAAAGAATCCAATCAGGGCTCTAACACATCATGACCCAACAGCCTGGTATTGAGAGTCTTTCTGAAGGCCAGTAAAGTTGGGGCCAACTGTTGGGAGAAATGTTTCATAAAATAGGGGCTTTTATAGGGACTAAGGGGCTTTTATCAAGAAGGTCCACCTCCTGGGTCCCACACAATAGCATTGTTTCAGTGAAGGGACCCAGAGTGCATATGGGACAGGCATATACCCTGGTGAGAAGGTGATCCCTCAAGTATACTGGTCCTATGCCATGTAGAGCTTTAAAGACACCTTGAATTGCAGCCAGAAGCCAATGTAGAGCCAGTGCAGCTTGTGGAGTACAGGTGGTCCTTCTTCAGTTATGGTTCAAATTTGCAATGGTGCTGAACAAGTGGTACTTATGACCGGTCTTCAAAGTTCCAGCTGTTGCAGCGTCCTGCGGTCACATTATCACAATTTGTGACCACAAGCAAAGTCAGTGGGGAAGCTGGTAGGAATTCAGAAGTTGAGGTCACATGAGGCCCTTGCTTAATGATCTGCACAATCCACGCTTAATAATGGTAACTGGGGACTGCCAGAACTGAGATCACTAAGTGGCACAATCACATGACATCGCACTTTATGACTGCATCGCTTAGAGATGGAAATTCTGGTCCCAATTAGCATTGTTAAGCGAGGATTACCTGTAGTGGTGTCACATGGGCATAGTGAATAGTGAGAGGCATCCATATTTGCTTGTGCTGCTGCATTCTGGACCAATTGTAGCTTCTGGATGGTCTACAAGGGTAGTCCCATGTCAGGTAGGTGACAAATCCAATTGGGAGGTGACTAAGGCATGACTGTGAGTGGGGCCTCCCAATCCATAAAAGGAGACAAGTTGTGCAAAGGCCCCCTCTGGCAATAGCTGCCACCTGCTCCACAAGAAGGAGCTGTAAGTTCAGGAGGATACCCAGTTGTGCACTGAGTCCCAGCAGGGCAGTGCCACCCCGCTCAGAGTCAAGAATGGAAATTCTCCAATTCTGGGATCTGAGGGGCCCAAAACCTAAAACCACTCAGTCTTGGCAGGATAGAGCCAAATGTTCTTCCCCATCCAGGCCCCCACAGCCTCCAGGCACTGGGATAGAACTGTGACAGCTTCATCAGGATGGCCAGGGACAGAGGTATACAACTGAGTCTCATCAGCGTACTGATGATAATGTACCCATGCTGATGGATGACCTCTCCCAGCAGCTTCATGTAGATGTTAAAGAGGAGGGGGGAGAGCATAGAGCTCTGAGGCACCCCACAAGACAGATGTCTAAGGCCAAATGGTCTGAAGGTTCATATGGTGACATATGGTGACTAAACATAGATTTTCACTGTTAAGTAAGAAAGCACACGGACAAATACCTCAAGTAAGAATTGGAGAAAATAATATGAAAGGGGAAATGAAACTGTTTTTAGAAGATCAGAGAAATCAAAGGAAAATTTACATTAAGATAGGATTATTCATAAGTAATCATGGAAGAGATTTAATTGACATAAATGAGGTTAAAAGAAGATGGGGAAATTATATTGAAACCCTTTACAGATGTGATTGAGAATCACATGTGAATAAGAGATAAAATTTACAGAGAGAGAATATATTCAGAAATCAACTCCATTAGAAAGTAGGATACAATAAAACTGTTGTCAATAGAAAAGCTATCAGATGAAATATCTATTTAACTGTTTAAAGCTGGAGGACAAGACACAGTTAAAATCCAAACAGTACTATGTTGAATAAAAAACAAGACTACTGAACTAGAGACTGGAAAAGTTCGCTGTATATACCTACTATATTCCAAAGAAGAGAGATGTAAGAGAATATGCAGATTAAACCATTGTACTAACTGCTTGCACAGTCAAAGTCTATCTTAAGGATCTACAATGAACAGAACCATATAGTACATGAAAACTGGGGTGCCAAATGAACAGGCAGTGGAGGAACACAAGATCAGATTGTTAATGTAATACAAAAAATGGAATGAGCAAGAAAATACAAGAAGGAATTTTATCTTTTTAAATTGATCATTGTACAGCAAGACCTTTGATTGGGTAGATCATGCCAGAATGTAAAATATATTAAGGCTAAATGGGTGTGCCAGAACACCTGTTTGCTCTTTTGAGAAATCTTTACAATGAACCAAAAGCTGCTGCAAGTGCTTGGTTTGGAAAAACAGAGTGGTACAGAACAGGGAAGTGAAAAAAACAAAAATGCATATTCTGCTTAACTTAAATACTGAATATAGTATAAGATTGGTAACAATGGACAAGACAGATGGGATCAAAATAGACAGCTTGAAGTCTAACAATTTGTTTGAGAGCTTTTACAGAGTGCAGCGGCCTTAAATTTTCGCAGGGTTTATAGTACCCATTTTGCTCCTCAATAACCTCTGAAGCACCTAAAAAACCTGAAAAAAGCAGCCAAAATGTTTTTGCTTCACCTATGCTGGAGGGTTCCAAGGGCCGCCAAATGGGAGCTGATGGGCTTCACATTTTGCACCCAGGATTTATTAATTATGCATACTTTTTTATTTATGAATATAGCAGAATGGGGAGTTTTGGATGATAGAGTGATGATAGAATGGATTCCATTCGATCATTATACTTACAAATTGGTTGTGGAATTCCTTTTTTTTCTTTTGAAGAAGACAGAGGCTTAGGTTGAACAGAGAGCTCATGAACACCAAAATTTAGACATAACCTAAACATGCTATCACTTAGGCCTCACAGTCTGAAGAGGCTGCTTAAAATTTCAGAATCGTTTTTATTTGCTACAGTTTTACTATAACTTCATATATGAAATTAAATTAAACCTTTCAATATGGTCACATGACCCTCAATAGTTGATCTAGATATGCTTTGTTTCTGCATGCACTGACACCTTCTGTTCAAGAGGGCCATCCCCACCCCAACATGGGTTTGTTATAAATCTTGGCAGCATTCTTGCCAAGTTGTTATATAGTTTTATTCTCTGTTGGTACTTGCCAGATAGAGTCTCTACAGCTTCTCATAGCTTGGGGCCTCACCATATCTAAATCTGGCCCCATCTCCAGCAGAAGATTTGGGCTACTCACATTCTTGCACCCTACCAGCTGTCTCTCATATAGCTATGGCCACATTCACAAGTGTGCTGCTCTAGCTTGGGAATGAGGCTAGTCTGGGCATGATCCAGGGCAAAATTCCAATGGGCATTCCTGGGGGCTGGCCAAGTTGGAGGAAGAGACGGAGCCACAATGGAGCCCATTGTTGCCCAATTTAGGTAGTGCTCCTGACGGTGCTCCTCTATGCTGCAGTGGGGAAATAATATGCTTCTCTACATTAAAATCACCTGCAAATAGCAAGTTGGTACAGTAAACAAAGGAAAGGTGTGTTTTTCTTGATGTCCTAATTTTCTGCGGTAGCACAGTTAAAAGAAAGAAAGTGGGAGACCATTTAAAATTTGTATCTCCCATCTGCTTCTACTGTCTTAGACTTCAAGCAGCATATTTTCCTGCCTTGTGTAATCAAGGCTTAGTGATTAGAACCAGGTGAGATCCTAACAGATAGCCTTCAAGGTCTGTGTTGGGTGTCTGTAATTCTAAGCGCAAGCTTTTCACTCTGGAGTCATATTTAAATGTCCTTATTTAAGCAGATTATTTTAATCCATCATAATTAAAAAAGGCAGGTTGCCTGCATTTTTCTGAATCATCATATTTTTTCTTTTTCTTTTTTTTCAGTATAGCCCATCTCTGCTTACTCAACATTTCTTTGTACACAGTGCAGGACTGTATCTATTAGCTATACTTTTCCCCACTCTTGATCAGCCTAGAATTCCCAGCAACTCCAGCCAGCTATAGCCAGTGATGGGAGATGCTACAAACTGTTGTATCTTGTATAAGTGTTGGCATCTGTGTGCGAGTGTGTGTTTATATACACATGTGCATAATGTAACAGTCTCTTATTAATCTTAAATATTTAGCACTTCAGTTCATTTTTTAAATGTTATTTACTAAGGCTTCTATGCCACTCCAGTCAAAAGACAACTCTGAGTCACTTATATTCTTCATTACAGTGCTAATGTGATTATCCATACTTTTTGGATTGATCTGAGAAAAAATAAAATTGTATTGCATGAGTCAAATGATTTTTGAACTGGAATTTCTTATTGCAGTTTTCCTTTTCCAAGCAGGTAAGGGCATTTCTTCAGAGCTCTATGGAAGGGATTGTCCTTGAGACCTATGGCAGTGGAAATGCCCCTAATAATTGTCCAGAACTGCTAGAATTGCTGAGGAAAGCTACTGATTCCAATGTTGTGATTTTGAATTGCACCCAATGTCTGCGAGGATCCGTGTCTTCAGTCTATGCTACAGGAAAGGTAAGAGGAATTCTGCAATCTCAGTCAATCTTCCCATCTTGGTGCTCTCCAGATATATTACAGTACAATTCCCATAATTTTAAATACATTTGTAGGATACTTGTTTTTTGATGGCTGATTTAAATAACGTGCTTAGCTAGCTAACATGCTTACTTCTTTTTTCTTGTAGGCCACTCCATTTCTAAAGATTTCAAATTAAAACATAATCCTCATTAACATAAGCATAATAACAAGAAGGTTCAGGTACATATACATATACATATCAGGTAGCAAAATCAAGTGTTCACAGCTCTTTCAAGTGTAACAAGGAGGAGATAGTCCAAATAAGGGTAGGCTGTTCTAGAAGTGGAGGGCCACCAGTGAGAAGTCCCTATAGCTAGTATTCCCTCAGAGTTGGGACCCTTAGCACTGGATTTCACTGGATTCTACTTGGGGGAGTAGTCTTAGAAATATCCAGGCTTTCAGCCATGTAGAACTTTAAAAGGGATTGTCAGCACCTTGAACTGTACTCTGAAATTGATTAGCAGCCAATGCAGATCCCTAGAAGTGATATTATATGGGTGAAGTTCGGTATTCCTATAACAACTCAGGCCACTGTTTGCTGAACCAGCTGAAGCTTCTGAATGGTTTTCAAGGGAAGCTCTATCTGCAAGCAAACTGCAATATTTCAGCCAACAGGTGACAAGAACATGAGTGGGCAGGAACAAAGCTCCCTGTTCCAGAAATGGCTGCAACTGTTGGGCAAGATGTCATTGAATAAAAGCCCTTTTGGCCATAACCATCACCTGCCGTTCAAGTGGGAGTTGCCAGTCCAAACAAGCTCTATCTAGGCTGTGCAGTCTCATGGAAAGTCAAGGTGGACTGTCTCTGGAAACACTTGATTGAGAATCCACAGGATTATCCTCGGGTTTGTCATGATGGGTGCATTCTGGATTGAGAAAAAATATAAAGTTATCAGCCCAGGAGAGATTGAAAGGGGTTTACTAGTTGTCTGTATCTTTTGTCTTGTTTGGAGCATACCTTGATTTAGATCAGTGTTTCTCAACCTTGACCAATTGAAGATGTGTGGACTTCATCTCCCAGAATCCCCCAGCCAGCCATGATTTAGATTATTCAGAGTGATGTTAAGTAAGATTGGTGGATAGCCTTATTTTCCATCCAGAAGGTTTGATGAGTGACATTCAGATCCCAAACTCTACGACTTAAAAATATGAATACACTGATGGAATCATAAAGTCAGAAGGAACCGTTAGGGCTACTGTCTGCCACTTACACACTATTACCAAGCAATAACTTGAAACACTATACTTTACCAGTGTTCCAGAATAGAGCTTAACTGATGCAGAAGCTTGTGCAGAAGTTCCTGAAGTATGCTGTCTTTGTATGAATGTGTTTGGAGGTTTCTGTTCAGTTAGTTAAATATTTTTTTAAAAGTGGGAACCATTGGCTCAGGAAATGTGCTGTTATGAACCAGTATGGAAAGTCAGGGTATTTATTAGTTTGAAATCTTGATATTTTTATTATTAGATTCCTCTAAAGATCTTTTTAAGACTTTTTCATTAAGAAGTTATTGAAAATGAGAGATAAGTATTGAAGTTTGTCTTTTACTCTCTTGAAAAATATCTGGAGGTGCCTTGTGGTTGCATCACATGGCCAAACATTTGTACTTGGTGATGCCCATATCTGAAGATAATTCTACTGCTTTGGAAATGCTTCAACATGATTGGAAATGTTATTTTGTGTCTAACTGTATATAGGGACTACTGTATACATTTAGGAATAATATGCTAGAGTGAAAATACTGGAGGTTTTTAGGATTAAAACTAAAAGCTAAAAGAAAGTCAAGACATTGCTTTAGGGATGTATTCCTTCATTGTCCCTGGTTAGCCAAAATCTTGATAGGATGCCTCCAAAAGATATAGCATGAATGGCAGATTAGATCCAAGGCTGAAGTGATCTGAGAAGTAGGATAGGACCACGTTTAAGTCGTAGTGCCAATTAATAGAATTGTGTCAGATCTGGCACTTGAACTTTTTAACACTTCTTTTTCTATAATCCCCATTGTATTCCAAAGATGACTAGTCCTTGCCACCAATCCCTGACTTCTAAGGCTGTGATTTTTATGCCTAATTCATCTTACAAAGAAAGACTTGTCAGGTGCAAAGATACACCTGTTGTTTATTTTTACTATTTAATTAAAAAGCCTGGTTATAGGAATGTATGCTTACTGTTTCTAATAGCTGCTTTTCTTTTGTTTTAAAATGACTTTGCTTTTCCAGGAAGTATTTTGGCTCAAAGGTTTGCTGTTAGCAAATAGCTGAGTCTGCCATTGAGGTAATGAAAAAGAAGGAATATAAGGGTATGAGAGGCAAATACTGAGTACAATTTGGATTTGAGTGAAACTAACCTGTGGGACTATTCTAGAAGACCAGCTACAAACATGCTGATCTATTTTCAACTAGTATGTATCTTGGGAAGATTCCAAGTTCAATGGCTTTCCTTCAAGGTTGAATAGGATGCTTGTTACAAAAATTCAATTCCGGACAGCCCAACTGCTATATTAGAGCATGCCTATAATATATGTAAATAACTAGTAACTGAAAGCATGGCAAATATACTAAGAATATGTCACATTATACTATAGCAACAAACCCAGGTTTGTCACTGGTATGGTTTCAACAGGCAGACCCCATTCCTGATTAGCTTTACATTGTGCTTTCAGATATTATTATTTTAAAACATCATGTGCTTAAAATGTGTCCTGTGTGCAAAAGTGAGCAAATAAAACCAATTTTTTTTAAAAAGATATAAGTTAGCTGTTATAATGACCAAGACCAACAGTCTACAACCCAGCAAAATGACATTGACATCTAAATCAAAAGAATAATAAAATTAAAATCTTGTTTACATTCTCAGATTTTACTCTAGGCGTTCTCACATACTTAATGACTGTTTGTTTAACGTCGGTTTGAAATTATGACAGCCTCAGAAAGGCTGCTTTGCAGCCTGTAAAGCACTTCTGGCCATCATACAACATTGCACCACCCCCCGCCCCCCCGCAGTCACGTGGCCACATTTCAGGTGCTTGGCAACCGGCTTGCATTTACAACTGGTTGCCAAGTGCTCCGCGATCATTGATCACCATTTACAATCTTCTCTGCCAGCTTCCCCATTGGAAACTGTCAGGGAAGGGTGCAAGAAGAGGGGATGCAGTGGTGAGTAGTTATGGGCCTCAAATCTTCAGGTGTTCCATTTATCGCTGAGAGAGGGAAGGGGAAAGAGGATGGAGCGAAAGAGCTTGTCTGCTGAAGGATTTCAGCTCCACATGGAGTTGAAATCCTTCAGCAGACAGCTCTTGCTCCATCTGCTTAATGACCTGGGAGATCACTTAATGACCGCAACTGGGAGTGCTCAGATTGCAGTTGTTGAGCAAAGCAATCATGACCAAAATTTCAGTCCCAATTGCAGTCGTTAAGCAAGGACTACCTGTACTAACATCCAGAACTTGGTAAATAATAATAACAAATGCTAAATTGTATTGATTGGTGCAATAGCAGAAAGCATGTTCATTAATGTACAGTGAGAGGTTTGGTGTTTACTAATTCTCTCACATAACCATGTGTCCTGTCCTGAAAAATTTTTCTTGAGATTTGCAGCTTTGGAAGAATATTGGGTGAAACAGAAGGCTGCACTTGGTAATTGCCCCAAATCATAAGTTCTGCTTTGCACTTGCAGAACTGTTTTTCAGTCCACTTATTTTAGAAAGCAGTGCATTAATTCAAGCTGCATTTTTTTCTCATGGCTTTCAATATAGACTCTTATGGATGCTGGTGTAATTCCAGGAGGAGATATGACACCAGAAGCTGCTCTTGCCAAGCTGTCCTATGTCCTGAGCAAACCTGGACTTACTATTGATCAAAAGAAAATGGTAAAATGACTTTGTCTTTTGAGTTGGTAAATGTCTAGTCTCCCTACCTTTGTTGCACATAGGAGTCAACGAACTGTACAACTAGTAGCAGTTGGCCAAGGATGGTTTCTGTCTATATTCCTCAAAGAACAGCCTGCTCCTGATGTTGGCTGGGTTCTCACAACATACTGAGCTACAAAAAAACCTAAGCAAGGTTAAAACTTACCAAGATAATTTGTCTGATTATTAATGTGTGTGAAAATACACCCAGTGGAGTCAGTGGACATGGGTAAGTCCAATCATGATTCATAAGAATAAGAATAAATAAGAATCATGATAGTAACAGCAAAGCTAATATTGAAAATTTAATGATGATTTTGATATACTATTCTCCTCCAAACGTCTCGGGATATATCAAAAATCCCAAGTTAATCTTGGCTCCAAAATAAAAAAAAAGGGGAGCAGCTTACTTCCACTCCCGAGTGATTGTCAGAACCAGTTGTTGCCTGCTGAATTTCAGAGGCAAAGCAGTGAAAAATCCTGCTGAAGTCTTTTTATAAAGTTCTGCCCCAAAGTAAAATGAAAGCCCTTAACATTCAATTGCTGCCCATTCATCATGTTTCTTGCAGCCCTCAGAGGCTGAAAAAATAGTATCAAATTACCTATTCCTAATTTAGCTGCTGCTAGTGGAAGAGAGCCCCATTTTAATAAAGAATCTCCCACGGTATGCTCTCAATGTGGTTTATGGAGCAAATGGAGATCTTTAGGTACTCCTAGTTCAATGTCTAGTGTAAAAACTAGCAAACCAAGAAAATACTGCAGAGTTTTGCACATGCAGCAACAGAGTTCTACATATTCTTCTGCAATGTATTACCTGTAACCGACGGATACCTGGTGAACTGTGAGGAAGATCTGTATATGTTGTATACATATGCAATCCACCTAATGATAACTGGGTCCACTCAATTACAGTTTCAAAGCCTGCAGCATTCTCTGGTCCTGCAGGCTATGTTCTGAGGACTAGTGTTGTATTTAAGATTAACCTACAGAATTTAACCCGATATGAAGAGTATCTGCTCTGGTTACTCATTTATAATTGAGTTAGAAATGCTGCTAAAGAATGGGCATAGCTGAAACCTGGTGTAGAGGAAACAGCTACATGTGTCCCTTGCTAAAAGTTATCCTATTGCATGGGAATAGTCTTTGTATACTGTATATTAAAAAAATCAGGACCTAACTTCCCCTGGAAAGTAAGTGAAATATTCCCACACCTACAAAGTTCTCTTTCTTTGATTCTTTTTAAGGCATGCCTAAACAGTGCTAAAAGTGAGATAGTCTTTCCCACAGTACTCATGCTTTCTTTAACTTTGTACAGCCATGCTTCTAGATAGATATCACTAGGCATGTATATTCCCATATTCTCTCTAATCAGGGAAGCATTCTGCATTACACAAGCAGAATGCTTCTGCGTGTATTCTGCAGCACTGTTTTAATTTTGTTTTAAGTCTTTTCCCCATATTATTCCAGAACTTCTCCCCCTCCTCTGTTAAATATCAGTGGTGTTAGAACCAGATCGCTTAGCTGTGGCAACTTACAGATTAAGAGCTCCCAGATCACAGTGGCTGACAATGGTCTTTATTGCTGTTATTGCTGAGTTTGGTACATTGGATCCAAAAATAGATTCTTGAGACAAATTGACTTGGAACCTTAACTCATAACACAACAAATATGTATACTTCACATACACTTTCATCAATTTCATACTGTACAGGTAGTCCTTGGTTAATGACTGCCCTGTTTAGTGACCATCTGAACTTACGTCGGCACTGAAGAAGTAGTTTTACGACCAGTCCTTGAACTTATGGCCATTGCATCATCCTCATAGTCATGTGATTGCCTTTTGCAAGCTTCACAGCTGGCTTCCAACAAGCAAAGTCAATGGAGAAGCCGGCAGTAAGTTGCAAGTCACAGTCACGTGATGTCATATTTAACAACCGCAGGTGATTCACTTAACAACTGCAGTGGAACTGACATTGTAAGTCTGGCGCAGTCACATGATGTTTCACTTAACAACCATGTCACTTAGCGATGGAGTTGCCAGTCCCAGTTGCAGTCATTAAGTGAAGATTACCTGTAATCCGAATAAGCCAATACACAGTCAACAAGAATAGGAGAAAACACCCCTAATTCCCAAATCCATATCTGAGCACTATTAATTAATGTCTATTATTCTAGCAAGAATTTAGAACTAGACAGACTAACCTTTCTAACCTTGCTAACCTTGTAAGCTGATTAGGTATGAATAACCAATTATGTTCCTGAAAGTCCTATGAAGGGCAGGTCAGGAAGCAGGGCATATGTACTGATCAAGGCCCAATGTGATAAATGAATGTTCCTCCCGAACATAGATTTTAGTCCTCTTTTATACTGTCTATGATGTCTTCCTCATGTGGCCTCTTCATAGGTCCAGCCCAGAGGTCCAGCACATATGTAAATCACCTCCCCATTTTTTGTGCTTTTTAGAGTTCAGAATTGTTTACCAGCTTGGAAACTATTGCCCAGAATTATAAATTTTGCATATTTCTAAAAGCCTCTGGAAGGTTCAGGAAGGTTCTGGGGACTTTTCATGATGCTGACTTGGTTTTCTATGTCAGGGTCTCCCATTCTTTATTATCTCTGATGTTTTGCA